GCGGTTTGTCACTGGTGACAGCACCTGATGAGCCTCCAGGCGCCTCGCTGCTGTCAGCAGCTGCAGGTTTTACAGGGCAGTGTCTGGATCTGAGTGATGGCGGCTTACTGGTATAAGCTGCTTCACCTCACACATGATTAAATTATATTTCTTCCTGTCTGAACAGAGATTATATTGAGCAGACAGGAAGGATTTGGCACCAGGGAAATACATGTTAGCGCCCGGCAGTGAGGAAGGCACAGGGAGATAGCAGTGTCTGACGAGGTCATGACGGAACCAGTGAAAAATAAGAGGAAGTCGCCTGAATGCTAAGTGGGCACACGCCCAGCTCCCCATTTGAAATGCCATTCAAATGGCCCTCCTGTCATTTCATTTTCAATTGTGTGATTCATTTGGGCAAAATAATTTTGTATCCAAGGAAATCAAGAAACCTCATTGCCTGCAGTTTGCTGAATCAAAAGATCGAATATGGACAGAAACAGTTCATATGTGCATCAAGATGTGAAAATGTATTCTAATTTGCATTCTCTGTCGTACGGCAGATTAGAAAATAATGACATCTTAAAATGTGCAAAACTAAGAATACAGGGTACCAGCTAGAGTCAAATGAAAAAACCAGCAACATTGAAAATGTGTAAGGAAAACATTGCAGAGACTTTTGAGCATTAAGAATAAGGTCTATTCTAGAGAGGGCAACACAAAATAACATGCGTGGTCCCGACACTGGCAGCTGGACAAGGAGACAAACGGGCCGGTCTGGTGGGGCGCGTGCCTGGGTGCAGGGCGGGGCGGGGTGGTGGGAGCTGCAAACGGGTGCTGAGAGTTCCTCCATCCAGCCCCTTCCTTCAGGCTGGTGGGCTCCCAGGGGGCCAGGGAAGGACTGCGTGCTATGGGTTCTGCTCAGAGTGCTCCAGGGGGACACCCCAGGACATCCTCCCTTACTCTTCTCAGCCTTCACCAGCCTCAGAGGATGCTTACATCCCAATGAATCCAGGAAACCTATGATTCAAAACAGTGCTGTGAAAGCGGCCAATAATATTTCTTTCAGTAGACTGACCATGGCCATTTTTCTCCTCTACTTCCCTCATCATGTCTGCCTCCGAGCCGCTTCCCGTTTTATCTCGTCCTTTGATTCTTGCACTTGTTAGGTCAGCCTTCTCTCCTCTCCTGTGACGTTCCATTCATACAGTACAACCACCTTCATGATGTTGGCTTGTAATATTTTAAATGAAACTTCATAATTTTTGTTTCACAGTGAAAGAGGCACACCCCAGGTCTAAGTGGATCACAAGACAATCACGGACTCGCATCAGATATTAAAAGTAATAGATTCCACATTCCCGCAGAATTTGTTGGGGCAGCTTCAATGAGAAGGAACATACGTCATGATGCACACATACAATTTCCTGGCAGATTTAATCTACTCTTGAATAATATTAACATGTATCCTTATTTAATGCTGAAATTACAACACTCTTTTCTGTGAAAGCAATTGTGGCTTTTCATTATTTCCTGTTATAAAATTTCGTCTTGCTATCTGTGCTGATAGGAGAAACTGGGCATTAACATTATCGTGTGGGGAGCCTGCTGTCACCAGATGCTTTGTGTCAGGATGCCTGCACCCGCACTCACCTCTCCAACAACATACAAAATCCAGAACCAAGGACAGAGACCTACGGATCATTACAAGCCCACAGAGAAAACCTCCACGCAAGAGAGGTGCCATCGCATACAACGTCTGTAGTATTTCTATGATATGAAAATGCAGATCATTAATGAAAAAATGCAAGTTTGATTGGCCTTTTACCCTCAGAGTTTACACCAACACCAGTGATCACGTGTCCTAGGCACAAGTAAGTCCGCACAGACATCACTTTCCACGATTCGAGCTGGAGCAGTAGGTAAAGGGGTCCCCTCCTGCATGGCTGCATGGCTGCTGAGTGCTTCCCACTGAAAACATCCCACCCAGGAAACCTTGGTACCTGGAATGATGTGACTTCTCCTGTGGGGACTGGGTCTGTTAAAATATTCTTTAGAGTTTGCATATTAATTAAGTCATAGCGATAACGAACCTTCCTGTCAATGAGTGTTCAGCTTTCTCCTTCAGCACGGCTTTGGTGACAGAATAAGGAAACACTCTCTGCTCTGCCGAAGGTTTGAGCGAGGGTTGGAGATCAGACCAGAGCAGAGGAGGAGGCTGGATGTAACAGCGGTTTCCTGCTTCCTCCTTTCTCACCCCATCCTGCAGGCTCACTTCCTGCCAGGCTTGCCGGAACCATCTAACTTGAAAGAGCGATGAACCGGGCAGCCTGGACACCCCTCTTCTCTGCCTCAGGGAGCTGGGTTCTGATCGCAGCCCATCGCCTCTGGAGCCCCGCTGTACATAACAGGACACATGTGCCAAGACGTTCAAGTTCACACTGTCTTTTCTCCGTTCATCACTTCCTCCCTCTTTCTGTGTTCCCGTTTTATTTCACTCACTTCTGCTGTTTCCCACATTCAGTTTGCCACCTGGTATGAGGGTTAATTTCATGTGTCCATCTGACTGGGTCCCAGGGTGCCCAGATATTTGTTTGCTCAAACATTATTCCGGGCGTGTCCGTGAGGGTGTTTGAGCATGATGCCAACCGAGTGGGCCACCTGAGCAAAGCAGATCGCCACCCCCCATATGGATGGTCCTCACAGAACACAAGGTTGACACTCCTGGTTGCCCTGGAGCTGGGACATTGGTTTCTTCCTGCCTTTGAACTTGAGCTGAAACACGGGCTCCTCCTGCGTCTCCACTGCCGGCCTTTGGACAGGGACCACACTGTCAGCTCTCCTGGGTCTCGGCTCTCAGACTCATACGGGATTTACACCACTGGCCTTCCTGTGGTACCAGCTCGCCAACCTCCATAATCACACAAGCAAATGCCTTCCGACAAGCTCCCTCTCCCCACCCTACTGGCTCTGGTTCCCCGAGAACTCTGACCAAGGCACCTGTGCAGTCCTTGGCTGAGCCCTGTTTTGAACTGGGTCCCCCAATGCTGCCTGTGCCCGTCTCCCCAGAGGCACAGCACCCACCTAGATGGCTGATGGCTGGACACGTCTGCTTTGAGCAGCCCTGGTTCCTGTCCCAGTCCTTTGTGGACCGCCATCTGCCCCATCCAGCCTTCTTACAGCCAGGCTTGGGGTGTCCTGTGTCACCCACACTCGTGGCGGTCTCCAGCACTGCTGTGTCTGTCGGCGTCTCTCTCCTGGACTCAAGTACCAATTCCTGAGTTCACCATCAATTCCCAGTGATAAAGCACCGTTCATGATTGGATAAAAGAAGCCTCCTGAAACCCCTCCCCCCAGTGCTCTGTTCCACCTGCATTTCAGATAAATCCGTGTGGCCATGACAAGCTTTTTAAGTGAGGCTAACAGCAGTTGATGTTTTATTAGTTCATCATAAGTGCTAAAGACAGAAATGCCAAATAATCTTCCATCTTATTGAAAGGGCCCATCTGAACGATGCTTTGTGAGGGGCACTGAGCTCCAAATTAAAAAAAATAGTTATAAATCCATGTCTTCAGCGACAAGCAGTCAGATCAGACTGGCGTCCAGGTAGCCAGTGGCCATGAGGCCTGGAGGACAGGGTTTAGGGAGGAGCCACCCGCGTTCTGACTCGCTCACTCCCGGGGGGACGACAGCAGGTCCAGGGCAGGAGTGAGGCCCCAGGAGGAACACGGTGTGAGGACCGCCCCTGGCCTGGTGGAGGTCAAATCCTCAGTCAGCGAGGGGAGGGGGGAAGGGGGCAGCTCCCCACATTTTTATCATTTACAGTCACATGCACCCCTCGATTTCCGAAATGTATTTTTAGAATGTTCTTGACGTCTTTTACGTGTCAATGAGCTTGAATTATATACAAAAATTGGAGCGTGTCAGGTTTACGAGCATAAAAGCACTTGGAGCAGCCCCAGCCTCGGGCCACCCGACACGGTACACCTTCTGGTTTGTTCTGTTTTAAACAGCTGGGCAGGTTGAGAGGGAGACTTTTTATTACTCATTCTCAGGTAAAGCATCTTCACCCCACTCCTTACCCCTCCAATCTAAGTTACAAGTTTTCATCTTTACACAATGAACATTTTTCTTTAATTTCTTCAGGAATTAAAATACCGTATTTACATTACCTACAGAATTTGTTTTACACATACCTGGAGTTTCACCACAGACAACTGAGCTGTAGTTATGTTTAAAACAAATGATTTTCTCCGAGTTTGACCATTTCTCACCGTAAACCAGGGGGCAGAAAATAGAACCTGCTCTTCCCTATAATTGTGGGCACTGGGTGCAGAGCGGACATCTCTAGGACGTCACGATGGAGTCTTGATAGGAGGTGAGCCAGAAGGCTGAACTGAACCCACCCTGTCCGGTGATGACACCCCACACTGCTACACCTTCCCACATAGACCAAGAAATAAAACTGCAAGCGTTCAAAGCTGAAAGGACACAATTAATGAAAAAAAGGGGCCAGATTCTCTCTCTGACTCCAAATAAAATTAGTGGAGGATTTTAAAATAGGCCTTGGACAGCCCTTGCTTACACAGCTGACGTGCCTGTAATGCAGTCTTGCACGGCGATCGCTTCTAGAGAATGAGGGAAGTAAGTGTGCCCACTGAGTCTGGAGCCAGAGGCAAACTCAGCTTACGGATGAAGCAAGCACCACCGGTGCCACTGAAGGCTGATTTGGGGCCAGACAACAGCACATTAACATCTTACTACAACTGAAGAGCAGAAGCCAATGGAGACGCAATGTCACATTTAGTTGTTATATTCAGCACTGGCTTTCTAACAAACCTGTGTTCTCCTTGATGTAAGATCGTCAGGGAATTGAATAATTCGGAGACGCAGCCTAATTTCTCTCTAGCAGGGCTAGCATTTACTGACTGTTCTTGTGAAAGAGTTGAGAATGGAAACAAAATGAAACACATATTTGAAAATCCTGACATGACTGTAAAAAGCATAACTAGAATACATACTGGGTTTAGAAGGACTGTGAGGAAAAGCTCGCCTCCTCTGATGCTCTTATCCAGTTCTTGGGGTCCGCCGGGGTAGTCCTTGTAGAAGATGGTGTGGGTGAATAGCCCGCAGGTCTGCCGCGGGAGGACCTGCAGGAGGGCGAGCAGGGGCTGACTTGTCTGTCCTCCCCCATCTGACGTCCAGTCTACCAGTCACACCTCCCAGGTTACTGAAGCCAACATCTTATTGTGATCAAGAGTGGACGACATTGGTGCAATTATGTAAATATTATGGGAGTTGTCACATCAAAGCTATAGCTGTGTGTTATGTGCAGTTGAGTTGGCTCAAGCTCCTGGGGGCCCCACGAATGAGTGACGTCCCCAGTGTCCTGTCCTCACAGCCCTGCTCGGCTCCTCGGGGCTCAGCCTATGGCCTCTTTTATGGAGTCCGTCCATCTCATGTCTGGTCTCCCTCCCTCCCGCTGCGGCCTTCTATTTCCCAGCATCACTGTCTTTTCCAGAGATCCCTGCCTTGTCACCATGCGCCTGAGGTAAGATGGCTTGGTGTTGTCATTTCGCCTCCAGCTGTGTGTTGGGCTTGGTTTGCTCTGGGACCCACTGGGTGGCCTTCCTGTTACGCGTGGGTTAAGGCATCCCACTCAGCTCTGTACATCTTAGCCACCAGCTGAGTTATGTTAAAGGACTGGCACAAGGCAAAAGCCTCGTAGGGTTAATTTCAGCCAAATATGGGGTGTCTCCAAAGGTCCACCTCCAGGGCCTTATGCCATCACCCCCTTTACTTCTGAAGCTCAGACTGGCTTGGTTCTCAGGTTCAGAGACTCAGACAGTCGGTTTCCACCCCCTCCTTCACCTTGCTTTGTTTTATTACACTCTGAATTGAAATTTTAATCACAGTAGTAGTTAAATCATCTAATGACTGCTTCTGGCATATTCTGTGGTTAATTCTGTTGTAAATCTGAATGTTCAACAGAGAAAGCAAATAAGTAATTTTATTCCAAGAACTTATTTTGAATAATACACGACTTATCATCTAATGGAAAAATTCATCCAATTGCACAGGTGGCTATAATTTTATTTATTCTTTGCTTAATTTTCATAATAGTTTGTATTAAATTCAAGGTAAATGAATGCATGTAATATCGGTTAAAAGGAATGCTTTTATTTCATAATATATCAAGGGGTCATGCAACCCATGGGAAAACTGGGAACTTTCACTCTGATTTGGAATTATTTGAGTGATACATTTTATTCTGCCTGCATTTCTATGAATATCAATACCACCATTTGCATGAGCAATTGCTCCATTTATAACTGAGGCTTCTTTAAGTCTTCTAATTTACAATAAGACATTAAAGTTTTATGATTAATGACTATTGAGTGCTATTGCTTTTCCTTTGGTTTTAGAGAGTGAACAGATAGGCAGGCAGGTAGATATTTCTAACCTCAATCTTAATAACAGACTGGGGAGATGTAAATATGTAAAGGGGGGAGAACAGTTTGTAAACCTTTGCTACAATCTAGGCAATTGACAATGAGAACATGACCTAAGACACTGGGAGTGGGATGGGCATTTTAAGATGGACTATTTTATCTCAAAGTAAAGAAAACTATTTTTTTCCCTTCAAGGGATAATTATAAGTTTTCATCTAAAATTCATTTGGTTTTACTCTCATATAAAGGAGCTGATACATTGTTCTTACATCTGATTATTATTTTTTCAATATATATGTGTATATGTGTGTGTAGGAAAGGAAAATATACACCTCCTTTTCATAGTAGGCAAGGAAAAGAAAGATGAAAAAGAATAGAATCCTAAGATATTCTTGAGCATCTGGAAGCCAAAATAAAGTGAGTGGAGAAATTAAGTTCTCAGATGCTATTTGATAGATTCTGTTGATAAGTGTAGTGACTTGTGAGGTGTTTTCTTAATTTATGAACCCACACTTTGCCTGGAAAACTCTCAATAAAACCACCCAAACAAATAGACACAGGAAAGCGCCCAGAAGCACAAGCTCCCCAGACAAAGCTTTGATCCGGAACTGCAGGGTGAATACATAAAACTCCTTTCCAACATTTTGAGTTGTCCGGGATTTGACAGCCCCCATCCCAGCGTAAGCCGCAAGCTGGAGCCAGACAAAGTGTTAGCACGTGGTCAGTCACCAGCAGGCACGTTGGGACCTGACGGTGCTCGTGTAAACGGGGTTGAGGTGACGCGTGTCCCCCCCCACCCCCCGCAGTCCACACAGCGGCGTGAGCTCACCATGACACTGTTGTAAATGAAGCCCTTTCTGTGCCGCGCAGGTTTCAGGTGCGGGTACTCCTCGGTGCTGGTGACCTGAATGCCCCAGACCTTCTTCCAGGCCTCGTACAGCTGGCCGTGGACCGGGTACACGCCCGAGTGGTGCGGGGCCACCGCGTAGCCCATGTCTGTGGGGATTCCGTGTTCCTGCGAGAAAGCCAGCACGGAGGTCAGTTACATTCAATTACAGTTGTTGCCACAAGCCTCCATTTAGGACACACTGAATCCCGTGTCTCGTGTGAGAAGTAAAAAATAAAAACTGACAGAGGTTTATCTTCCAGCAGCTCATAAGCTTCCAGAGCTCTGATGGTAAATACTTTGGGCATGTGGTGTGTGGGTGGGGTTAATTCTGAATTCTGAATACAAAAAATTTTGGGGGTAAGATGGGAAGGGAAAGTTGCCCTTCCTCAGATAGATACAGGAAAAAAATGTAACTTTAGCAAGTGCCCAAATATGCGATGGAAGAGCAGTGAGTGTGTATGAGTGTGTGTGTGTGTGAGTGTGTGTATGTGTGAGTGTGTGAATGTGTGTGTGTCTATGATGTTGAAGACAATCAGAAAGGTCAGTATGAACCATAAAGCAGTGAGCTTTTATTGCTCATCTGAGGGGCTGGAATTAGTTCTGGGAATGGTGCAGACAAGGCGCTCTCTGAGCATGGACCATATGTGCTCCGTGACCTAGTGACATGCTAGGACGCATTGGAGGGAGAGGCTGTGCACTAGGAAGTTACTGCAATGGTGCGGTGACAGGGACACAACACCTCGGCGACTAGGTGGCCAGACAGCAAGAGACAAGTGCCCCCCGAGGTCCAGTGCTGCGTGACACAGAGAGTGTGTGGGCACAGCCAGCAATGAGCCTTTGGTTTTGGACCTCAGTAGCTCCACTTATTTTTATAAAGTGTATACTTTATGTGAGACACTGGCTTTGGATAAAAAGTCTATCTAAAGGAAACACGTATAAATTTAAAACAAAAATATGAAGAAAGGTGTCAAAGGATGGTGTTATACTGCAAGGTTCATGCTATAGATCTGCCATTTCCTAATTTCTGCGTCTTTACATTTCTCCCTTTAAATGCTTATCTGCTTTATAAAGGCTTCTTGTAGGATTGAACCTCATCCATTGAGGGTATAAATGACAATGGAAACTGACTGAATCAGCACACGGGGCATCGAGTGCTGACCGCTGCCGTTTATGGTGTCCATTTCATGGACGCAGTGCAGGACGGTTCAGTCCGCACAATAAGTCGGCGGTGAACACATCTCAGAGCCACACGCCTGAGTGATGGCCACGTTCAGCACAGATGGGCCCTCAACGCCCTCCTTTCATGGGGTGGCCCTCACTGTGTAGCCAAATCCCCCCTTCAGCAAGACTCCATCTTCTCACACCTACGACAACGAGCGACTCTGTAGAGACAGAGCTTTGAAGACGATGCTGTGAAACGGGCTGGGGCCTTTTGGGAGGCGCTGGGCAAGCTCATTTCGTGGCCTGTGCTGAAGGAACTTCCTGCTTTCAGCACAAGGCAAGTCCAGTCACCAAACTGCTTGGAAGCCACTGGAGGGGGCCCGCCACTACTGTCCCCAACACATCAGTGGGGGCATGGACTGGACAAGTGCCAATGCTCTCGGGTGGGTTCCATGCAGCCCAGTGAGTTGTCACGGACTGTTCTGAGGACGACTGTCATTGGGACCCGAGATGTAAGCCATGGCGTGAGACACAGATGAACTTCCTCAGGAGAGACATCTGGGGTCGCAGGTGCCCCAGCCCGTGTGTGTGGATGGAGGTGACTGCTGCCAGACAGAACAACAGCCATTAGACTGTCCTCACGCTGTCTGGGCCCCCACATGGGGCTGCGTAAGAGTCTTCTCCCGGGATCAGAACGATAACGGAATCAGGTGCCCTGACCCTCACCAGCTCCACGGGTCCCCTTGCATCCCTCATCCCCATCGCTGGGCAATATTAGAGCCCACATCCCGGGCCCAGGACACTCAGTATGTGAGTGTCCCAGAAACAAAGAGATGAAACTAAAATCATGGAGAGAATTGAAATATCAAACAACTGTGCCTCTCCAGGAAAAAGAAAAAAGGCATTTCATGTTGGACAGGTAGTAAAATGAATTGTAGAACTTTCATGAAAAACCAGGAGGTAAAAAGCAATTGATTTGGTGAGTACTAAGGAGGGGGCAGTAAGAGGATTTTATTATATGTATTGATTCTGGGGCTCAATGTTATACTGCTCATAAGGTCATCTTATCACACTGACAACCGCAGCTCAATCAAAACAGTAAATCACACTAGATAATTATGGGTTTATGCTTTTCCAATCTAAACGATAACACGAAGTGAAAAGCAATTCCCCAGTAACTCCTTTCCCGTCCTCTGGGGCTTGCTATACCAGAAACCTTCATCCGTTACTGTCCAGAGCTTAAGACCCACTCCACACAGACTGGCCCACGAAAAACTGAACTAAGCATCGTATCCACACACCACCACGAAATTACAAAATTGGAAAGGCTGTCTAATGCAAACATAGGAAGCATTTGAAACTATAAAGATAGGCATAAAAATGCGAGGATGAGCTAATTCGGATATGGCTTTTATTATTTATTAAAACAGTGTTTTTCACAGGATCTAGGAAATCCGTGGTATAATAATATGACACGCCACCACAAATATTTACAGGGAGTTTAACGTGATCCAATTTTCCCAGTCACATTAAGTTCCCCGTTGACTGGAAAATGAGCTAATGTGGTAATGTACAGACTATATAAAAACAGGGTCACCATTTTTCAAAAAGTAAAATAAAATAAAATGTACTGAGCACTAAAAGCGATGCCATCTAATCTTTCTCTGAGGGTTCCCACTGATCATATCTGCGTGTAATTGCTCCGTGCCCGGCCTCTGTGTTTTTACATGCATGTCGATGGGGTCCTCTCGGGGAGACCCGGATGTCACTACCCATATGGACACTGAGGCTCGGGGGGGTGGGGCGTCACTTGCTCGCGTTCACAGGTGTCGAGCTGGAATTATATCGGAAGCTGTTCCTCAGAGTCACAGATGGTGCCTTTGCTTTTCCATGGGACTCGAGTTTATGACGAAAGGGGACTGGGTTTAATGTATATTTCTAAGCCAGTCCTTCTGTCCTCTAGTTTTACTTGGAGAGGTTATAAAGCAAAATTCTCCATTTCCCAAACCCCTCTGCAGCTGTCATTATTGGGGCAAACAAGGTCCGGCCCATGAGAAGGCCTGGACAGAGCTCAGAAAGCAGTCGCTGAGCAGATGTCGGCTTTGGCAGCTCCTGGCTCCCGCGGCCGACATGCACGACCTTGAGGACAGGAGCTGTCGGAAGCAGCACTCGGTGCCCGTTGGCACGGCTGTGGCAGTGGTGGGAGCTTACTGCTTCTGCCAGGGATCAGGTGGCAGTTGTAGGATCGGACACTCCCTAGGGGACCATCCCATCTGGCCCTGCATCCCCAGAGGAGTCCAGCCTGGGACCTGCTCCATCAGCCCCGCTAAGGATTGCGGAAGCACTTACACCACCGAGGACATGCTCTCCCTGCTGAAAGCAACTCCTCGCGGCTTCGGTTCACAGCATGGAGACCTGACTGGTACGGGTGGTCCTGGACCCTTTCTGGTAAGTATAAAGGGCGTAACGGGTCCAGGTGAGATGTCAGTGGTTTGAATTCGAGGAGAACAGAGGAAGGCTTTGCTGAAGCACTGCCTAGTATTTCAACAAGAAAACTCATTGATAGATGGGGACACCCACCTGTCTAGCTGGACAGCAGCATGTTACATAGACAGCTGTGAAATCGTATGTACTGGTCACCCAATGCCGAGTGTATAGAGAAATCAAACAGGAGACTCATTTATTTACATAGTAAATGCTGCAGGTGTCTGGCACAGGTACGACTGGTGAAACCTTATAACGCAGGCAGCGTAAAGAAAGAAGGGGATGAGCTGCATTAAAATAACTTTGCTCCAATGGATTACTGTTGTTGACCACAAGCACCTCCGGACCAGCATGCATTACAACAGCCCTTCATGAGGGTAACCATGAAGGTTATCACCTGCACAGGTAAAAATTGCCACAGGTGAGCATGAACAGCTCCAACGCTGCACTGTGTAGTCCTTTGTCAGTAGGAACTTTCTAGAAGAGCTGGCACACCACAGGCCGCCACAGAAAACAAGGAGATGGTGAGAGTGTAGAGGGCGGGGCTCATGGACGTTCAGGGGACATTCCCTGCACGTAGCTGGACAGAAACCTGAAGGATGGATGGAGTCTTGATACGGAGAGGAGGAAGCGCAGATGAGAGGCATTTCCTGTCGCTATGAGCTTGCGTCTGCACTCAGGAGACAGGGCTGTGGAGGCCGCCCTATCACACATGTGGGTGGTTTGCTCTCTCTCCAGGACTCAGCAGCGCGCCTGGGGCATCGCTGGGGTATGATACATATTTTCTAAAGGAAATGATACACAAGAATGCTATTGATAAATCCACCGCGATGTTTAAGAAGTGAATATAAAAGAGGAGCACTGAAATGCTGGCTGCATAAACGAATGTCCTTATAGCCAAAAGCCGACACAGTAAACAGTACGCTGTTGCCCTGAAAGCGTTGGTTTGATCTAAACACACGACTCCCAGGGAGCGACTCAGGAGCTAAGATTTTGCTCTCATTGTCTGTTTTCTTTTTAATAAGGACTTGGGATCATATTGTGAACTCTGAGAATGATCCTGGGATCATCGACTTTTCACTGTGTTTTGGGAACTGAAATTGTCTCCTGTTCTCATAAGAGAAAAAAGCAATGACTGTGTGACCTGGAAATTGGCTGGGTCAGTCCTGGCACTGTTCGGACGGACGCCTAGTAAGTGTTGGCAAATCTCCGGAGGGCCCTGTGTTACAAATGGAATTTTCTTGTGAAAAAGAAACATCACAGCAACGGCACTGTTCCTATAGCGTGAACTTCTAACAGCTGCGACGTTCCTTTAATATTCTTGACCTGTCGAATGCCTACTTTCTGCCTGAAGGGAACTAACAGAAAACTAGGTAGGTCTCATTCCCACTGTACAAAATTTGGTGCCCTAGGCACGTGTATCGCTAACGTTTTGTTTTGGCCAGAATTCTTGCTTTATTGACAATCCAAATGTACCAGGG